TTTTTGTCCAACTAGAAAATATGAATTAAGATTTTACTTTAATTTCATTACAAAAATCATGTTGAAATATAACTGGATAATGTTTTCAAATGAAATGATTAATATTTTAAATATGTGTAATAAGGAAGGAATAACGTGGTTTCATTACTTCGTTTTAAATACTAGTTTTGCAACAAATGGGAAATTTTAAACGCAATTACTCATTGCTATATTGTTAGAATTTATAAATAATTAAAAGTACGAACATGCTATAAATAGACTATTCTATTAAACTTTCAATAATAAACTATTTGGAGGAAATGAGCAATGAAAAACAAATTCAAAATAATTAATAATCATCATATTAAAATCATCAAAATGTTTATAGTAGAACGGTCCTTTTTATGCGATATTATTTTTGTGAGTTTTTTTTATGCGGTATATGAATTCCAACAACGTTGGTATCGTTGTATTGTTTTCTATCAGTGTGCTTATCTATGCATGCTCAAACGATTCTGTTAGTTGACTTTGAACCAATTCATCACAAGAAGATGCGCGCTTTCGATTAACACGAGTATCAGTGAATTATGTGTGTGCATTTTCAAAATTTCTCCAGGTGTACAATGAAAAATTAAATGTTTTTAAAACATTTCCATGTGTAATTTAATTACTTATTTTGTTTGGATGCACTTTCTCATGTATTTCGTAAATCTTTGACGTATTTCGCACTTAATTTTTTTTATGCGGTCCCTATCCACCACATAAAAAAAAGTTTCTTTAATGTATTGTACAAAGTTATTTGTTATATGCAAGAATTTAAGAAAATTTCGAATATTTTTTTGTGCGATTTTTTTATGCGGTCCTTATCTACCGCAAAAAACAGGTTTCACTGTATAGCAGCGGTTGCCAAAGTGGTGGCAAAAATTTCGCGGTTGCCAAAATTTCGCTAGTCCGCAGAAAAATGTGGAATATACTTACTCATCATGTTAAGTTATCCTATTAGTAGTCCGCGGGATTTAAATTATGAATTAACTGGTCCGTGAGGTCAAAAAGTTTGGCGACCGCTGCTGTATAGCACTATTTATTATAAAAGTCACATATTCATAAAAGAACAAAAATATAAAAACAAATGGGTTGTGGACCATAGGTTTTTCTGACCAAATACAATAAAAGTTAACTTGTTTCATCATTTATAATTTACTATAAGATTATTAAAAAAAATATTGAAATTATGAAATACACATTAATTGTTGAATGTATCAAAATAAAATATTAAAAAACTTTACTTACTTTTTAAGTAATTCAATATCTACTTTTGTTTTAATTATTTAATAATAAATATAGGATATTTTTCATTAAAAAAAACTTACTTTATAAAACATTAGACTTATTATATATAATATATTATAAAATATATAAATATTATAAAAATAATGAATAAATTAGTTAACTTCAATGATTTTAATTTACATTTTTATTCAATATGAAATGTATTATTTATAGAAAAACATCTTGATTAGAATTTGTATATTAATCTAAATCTTATCATAACAATACAACGTGTTTGAGATACTAAAAGTCTGCTATGTAAAACATATTCAAGATCAGAATTCAAAGCGTGCTGGGATTTCCCTGGGATTTGTTGCATGTAATGCGAATAACCATTCAATGATTCATACAGTAATATTATTATCATTAAAAATAATTTAATTTTTACTATTGAAGTCTTCTTTTAAAGATTAAAAATAATTAAATCCTGGTCAAGCCAGGCCTTTTGTGAGCCCTCTCTGTGCTTGCAGCAATAGGGCCATCGTTCATCACAGATGGACAGTCAAATGAATTAGGTTCAGCATATGGACCTTTTCAGCCAAGTCGATGGACAATGACAGTATTAAGGATAGCAGCAGATTCACAGTCAAACGAAATAGTGGAATCTCAGAGCATCAATATACTACTGAAGTTATTCTACAAGACGACAGCCAGCAAACAAATAAAAAAAAATCAAATCATCATAATGTAAACTATACGGGGAAAGATTACCTATCTAATGTCAACCGTGACCTTAAATTTACACGACATTAAAATATATGGGCTAAAATACCTATGATCAATAGCCTATTTATAACAGTTAATTTTTTTCTTGTACTATTATTTGGTTATGTTTCATATTTTTACACGCGACTGTAAAAAGAAATATTATTGTAATTTATTAATTTATAGACTTTTCATTAATTTAAATAATGTCCTTCAATTTAAGGTTATTACTGCTGATTATAGTATATAATAAACAATTTATTGATATACACATATATAAGAATTCAATGAATTTGTCGAAAAACAAAAACTGAGTATTTTTAACTCGAAAATTATTTTGACCTTGAAATTATTGTTTACTTTTTTTGTATATATCATTAACATTTATAAGATGTACAATCCCACATCTACCTTACTATTACGTATATATTACTATTAGAATTTTTATTCTTCTAGAATTTATAATGTTTGAGTCTTATTTCTAAATTAATCAAGAGTTTTTTTTTTAAATATTTATATAATGTAGATGAATACTAATTTACTATGATTATATGAGACAAATTCAATAATATTAAATATCTAAAAATACAATCTAACCTGTTATTTCTATGAATGAAATTAATTATTGTTACTAATATATTATAATTCCATGAGAATATAAACTAAACTCAACTTCTGTGTTTGTTAAATGAATTAAGTGGGAATGTGTCATTCAATATTAATTACTATCACATTCCATATTAGAAAGTATTCGTGTCGTAAATGTATATATATATATATACATATAAATATTAATTAAGAAATAATTGCATAGACATCTACATGAATAATAAAATAGGAAAATGCACAGTTTTAAACAATAGTTAACTTTGATTTTTGGTAGATTAATAAATAAATTTAATTATTGCGTATAAAATAACAATTATTTTGTAAATTTTAATATCCTCAAATATTTTATTTTTTAAATTATAATTGAAAAAATGTAATTTTATATTTTGGTAATTAAAAAAGCGATCGTTTAGTTTATGAATTGCCTTAGTATTTATATAATAAATATTTACAATTATATTTTTAAATTTTTCCTTACGATTTACATACGTTGTTTTGATCAGTTACTGAATTAATGAATATTGTTACCATAAATATTGTTGTTTGTCTAACTTACAACATTTCCATCAGTAGAAAATATCAAGGATGTTCAATTATTTAGTCAAGTTTACATAAGTTTTAAAATTTTATTCTTCTAAATATTTTGAAATTAGTAGTTAAAAAATGTGCAATCCTGGCACTGATTTTTCTTCTTCTTGTTCTTCTAATATTAAAGAGTTCTTATCAGATTCTGAATTTATGAATGTTCTTATCGTGTCTTTAAAATTTTATGTTCAGTTTTTATTCAAGTGTTTGTCATTTGTACACTTTGAATTTTCTAGTTTCCAAATTAGATAGGATACATTGTAAATACCTTATTTCTTCTTAGTTAATGACTAGTGATTCTGGTTTGTAATATAAACAGGATCTCAATTCATAGCACTTAAAAATTATTTATCCTTGTGCAGATTTGGTTCGGTATTTGTCAGCGGTTCGAAATTTATTTCACATTAACGATCTATTACACAACTCATAATGTATTCTCTTCGTTCAAGGCTTTCCCGCTTCTGATCAGACTGTAAACGAGGTACTTTGAGGCGGGGAAGAACTGCAGCAAGTGTTTCCAATCCTCGTGCACTAAACTCACGATCGTCGTCACAGATTTGCATTGATAGGTATGCGTATGAGGAGTATTTTCGAACAAACCCTGGATCTAATTACAAAAGTCCTCAATACTGGCTCTAACATGTAGTTAGTAAGAGAATCACTGTAACTGAACTCACCAATCCGAAACAGTCGTGCATATCCAGCATGTCTACAAGGATCTCCTCCTTCTCTAAACAGAACACCACATCTACGCTGCCCGTGTGTATGAAGTACATTGTATTGTTGATGTCTCCTTGCCTGATGATCACATCACCGGTGAAGTAAGTCGTCATCTTTAGATGAGTTACAAGCAGGCGTAGGAAGTCGTCATGGCAACCGCTAAACAACAGATTCTGGAAAGTTCGGAAGACGAGAGTTGAATAGGTGGGAGAGAGGTGGTAATTGGATTGGTAATCACGTTGAATATGTGTTTGCCGAACGCGTGCACCTTGAGCTCTTCGACGAGGCAGCTTGGACCCATCCGCATGTAGATCGGCATTTGTCTTCCTTTCGACAGAGACCACAGTTGGTCCACATAGTTCATGATCTTTTGCTGCAGGCGCAACGAAATCTGGGCATTTATCAGATATATCTAAAAAAAAAAATAATACAGTCTGCGTTCACTTTACATCCTTATAACGTATATTCAAAAAACACGTACATGATTATTTACAAACCAATGAATATACAAATGCCTATAATAACTATATTGTACGTTTTTATATTGTACGTTTATGTGAACATGTACAAAATCTTATATAAGTATCTATATGATTAACGTACCTTTGTTTTTAGTAGGGAACTCTGTATACGTATTATGTACGTTAAAGAAATACTATAATTTAGATTAGCTTAACTCTTAAAAAACTTCTAAATATGAAGTAAAATCAGTTCATAGTGTTCATAGCAATAACAGTGTTAAATTTAAAAAAATAATACAGTTGATGTGAATGTACATAGTTTTTATATACGTTCAATAATACCTATATGATTATTAAAGGACCGCACAAACATACCAATATATATTAATGATGTGTGTTTTTATATTAACATACAAACAAAGGGTACGTTCGAGTGAACGTGCATATGAAGACTTTCTTTTTTTAACACGTGTGTTAAACAATCTTAAATTCCTGCAATTACATGATTAGGGTACATTTGTTTAAAGTACGGTAATCTCGGTACGCATTATGTACGTTAACTGAAAACAGACTATAATTTAAATAATGATAGTAAAGATGTAGTTTAACCATTGAAAAATACTGAATATAAAGTGAACAATCGTTTTAAATAAGCATATTTATGAAATCATAGATAATAACGAGCAATTACCTGTCAGTATTAAATTAAGTAAAGTACGTACATATATATCTAAAAAAAAAATAAAACAATCAGCTTTCATTTAACGCGGACTGCTTTAAAATACTAAATGATACGTACATGATTATTTACGGACATATATTTTTGTATGGTCATACACAATAGTGTACGTTAGAGTGAATGTACATCGCTTTCGTGCGAATAAAGAGTTTTACCCACTTGTACAAAAAATATCTTAAAAACAAGCAACTATATGATTTTTTGTAAGTACGCTAGTTAATGTATATAATATGTACGTTAACTGAACACAGACTATAATTGACTCTTGAAAAAAAAAACATATTTTTTAAATCTTTAATATATAATGGGGAATTACCGCTAACGTACTTTACTTAATTTAAGATTAATTGATGTATTTATGAATAATAATGTATATTTATGATAACATAAAATTATCATGTAAAAATAGATTAAAATTGGGATTTTTTCACTGGGGAATCCTTTTCAACCGGAAATGTACAGGATAAACGTGATAAGACAGCAACAAGTGGTAATTTCTAGCAAAACATGAAAACCGCATAACTAATATGTGATTAAATTACAATAACCTGATTTATGTTCACAGTTTTTGTTACCAAAAAAAAATATAAAATTTGTACTATTTTTCTGTAGTTTCCAATAAAACATATTAACTAAGTAATTCTTTTATAGATATATATTAATTTTATATTAATTTTCTTATAGTTTGTAAAAGGTTATAAACAAATGGACTTGAACTTACTTTGAGGACAGTGACTTGCTGCGAGTAAACCACCAATCTGTGTCCGTAGTGACGGACGACGGCTGCGATGTCAGAGATGAAGATGGTCATGATGAACTGGCTGACGATCATTGCGATGATACAGGCTGTTATACCTATGAGGGATCTCGGAACCATTGTGGCATAACCTGTCGTAGTTAGTATGGAAGTAGTGTAGTATAGGGAGCATATGTAGGGATCTCCACAGTTAGGTTGCTTCTCAACTAACAAATCAGAAACAATAATGTTTAGTAGCAATACAAAAATAATGTAAGAATAAATGTATAAAAACTTGCTTTGATCGTAATACCAACTGGCCTTTCTGCAAACACCATTGGGACATGCCACATAATACCAAATACACGTTACTGTATGCGTGAAAGTAGTGCAGAATACGAACAGCGAGAATAGTTTAATGGCTAAAACGTTTACATTCAGATAGTCATAAGTTAGACCAAAGTAACGTTTAATACTGATCTAAAATAGACAAAAACATTTTATTTATTATATATTATGTTATTATTTACTTATTTATAACAAAACCTTTATGTATTATCTCTATTTGTTCAATAGTTTTATTGGATTTTTCATTTAGATTTAAATTAAACTTTTTTTTTAAGCAAGATAATCATTTACGACAAAGTGTATGTTCAAGTGACTGCTTTATAGAATTATATAATCATCCATTTTAGAAAGTAAAGTATTTTCTTTGGAATATAAAACATTTTTTGTTTTACTCTATTTTATCTGAACTTTCTTTATTTTTGGAATAGAAATAAGGTAAGACAAACCGTGTTGATATTATGAAAATCTTGGCAAGTATTACTATATACATTGGCAAATGTTGCACAGCTTTTACAATGCCAAGAAAAAAAATGTTGATATTATCAAAATATTTATTATCGTATTTATGTATAATATAACTATATAATATTTGTAATATTAATATTATTTTTTGTTATTATTAAAACTTAAATTGGACTTTAGACTTTTAAATTAAATTTTCTGTCGCTCTTTTTACTAGTATCAAAAATATTAGTACTTTTTTCTCAAAAATTATAATTAATGTATATTTCTTAAAGATATTAACTTTATATCAATTGTATGTATGTATGATATATACAATATTAGAGTTAAGTCAGTGTTCTGAAGTTATTACAAAAAAATATCAAGGTATTATTATAAATATTAGTTTTAAGTAAACTATACTTACCAAACGAACAACACGATTCAATCTGAACAAAGCAACGTACAACCAGATGTTTCCGGTTGGGAAAGCGAACGAGAAGAACTCAAATGGAATCAAACTGAAGAGATCAAAGTATAAAGCTGATTCCTTCAAATATCTGCCAGAAAAAGTATAAAAAATGAACATAAAAATGACCAAATATAAAAACAAAGTTTACTTATTTTTGATGCGCTTCTTGTTCTTCACGATTTCTCCCAATCTGCTGATGTAGGGTGTCTTGAACGTTATGTAAATCTTTACGATTTGCATAAAGTCAAAGAAGAAGGTGAGCGCAATCACCCAAGGCTTATGATGCTGAAACGAAGCGTGGTAGATAATAATTAGGTAAGAGAAGTATGAACCCAGCATCGAGATCAGTTCCATCGTACGAGACATGTAGAATATTTCGCTTTTTGTCAACTTGAATCTGTAACAAATTCAGAATAATCAAGTATATCTGTAACATTGCCAATATGTCAATTGAACAGTAGATATAGAATCTAAGGTTGGGCAGATATATCCGCTACTTGTCAGAAAATGATTGATTTGTTACTATAAAAGTAGTTTCAATATTTTTAAGAAATCATTAATAAAATTAATTAATAAATAATTATAACATACTTTTGTTGCTTAATTTTTAAATCTCTCGTAATATCATCTACAATATCATTAGCAGTAGTGTTAATATTGATGTAAGCCTAAGAAACGTTGGAAATATGATTAATTTTAACATTATATATAATGTGTTGATTTATATAACCATATTTGTTTCTACGATGAACTGGTCCATGATCCTTGCCATTGAAGGATACTTTTCGATCAGGTTATAGAACTTGCTTGTCTTCAAGTGAAGCAAATCTACTGTGGTGTTTGTGCTACAAGTTATGGTGCATCTGGTATGCTTTACGTTATCCAAATTACCAAACATACTGTATAAAGGAAAACACTTTTATTATTTACTTAAATGTACTAAGCAATACCTCATAAGCAATACCTCGTACTGTGTGAGAAACCTTTTTGTGTATTAATTTTATGGAATTCATTTTTATTTTGTTGAATTCAAATTAAGTTTTGAAATTTTTAGACTGAACTGTAGTGAAGCCGCGTAGATCGAAGCATCATTATGCGAGGTATTGCTGTATATAAAACTTACGCTCCACGCCTTAGATTTGTCTCGATATGACCGTCAGGTCTTGTAACCTTGATGACACCTCGATGAACTATGTATACAGAGTCGACTATGTTATTTATACAACAGATGTCCATATCTTGCAAATAGTAAGCTTCTTTGATGAGCATTGATAAGGCTCGGAAGAAGCTGGCATCTGCATTTTGAAATATAGATACCAAAGCCAGAGTGTCTTGGTACATGCTTAGAACGCAGTCTCCTTTCAGAGTCGTATGGAAGTTGTCGAAAATGTCCATAGTGTTCGTGCCTTGCGTCCTCTGCCACATGTATTCAAAGAATCGAATGTTCTTACTAAAATTAATGATTGTCATTTTTAATCAATGATATTTTAAGATGATTACATAATTTCAATTAATTATATTTGATGTAAGAGTAACCAAAAAAAGACCAAAACCATAGAAACCATAAAAGACATAAATTTATATTTTTCACATATTTGTGTTAATTTTAGTATTGATTGTTCTAAAATTTTAAAAATATGAATATTGTTAACTATTGTATTAATACAGATGTTTGCAAAATCTTGTAAAATTCGACTTACTTTTGAACCAATTTAGGTACGCGTTGTTCCTTCATGAAAATGATCAAATCCTTCATATGGTTTTGGTAAATAGTTAGATTCAAGTTCAAAGCTGCTTTTGTGTTGGAAATAGTCACCAGAATATAAGTAAACCATACATATCCTGGAATCAATATATGAAAATATTAATAATTTAGTTTTAAATTTTTTTATGAATTTTACTTCATATAATATTCAAAATATATAAAAAAAAATGCTAGTATTTTAAAAATCAATATAAAAATCTAATTTGTATTGATTTTGAAATGATTAGTATTTTTCTATCTCACCAAAAATTACAACCAACATTGTATAAATGACTTCGATGTTTTGTACCACAGCTATATCTCCGATTCCTAACTTCAGAGAGGCCTGAGTTATGTAATATAATGCCAAGTAGTAAATTTTCATTGCATTCGAATTCCTGTTTGCTTTGATGCCTACAAAGCAATTTGCAACTTATATCATCTTCTAATTCTATTAATTTTTATTCTATACTTAGTTCAGAATCGGTATCTATAGTGAAAACCCAAGAACTGTTGTAAGGCATGAGTATATCGATGACTTCATCCAAAGGAGTGTACTTGCATCCGAGTAAGATCAAAATTGCAGTAAGTGTATTGAAGATTATGGTAGTTAATATCAGATATTTTACTATACTCCTGTAAGAAATAATATTATTTTTAAATAAAGTGATGATTATTAGATCTGTAGCAATTAAAAATTATATCAATTTTAATTTAAGTAATCAATCAAGTGTTTTTCATTCGGTCTTATAATAAATAATCATGGCATTGGGAATTTTGAGAAATTTGTCATATTTTTTTGTTGGATGAAAATTGTCATAAGATTGTAGTCAAAGTATGACACTATCTTTGGACACTATGACAGTTAAGCAAGACATCTTTCTACATTTTCTGAGGAATGATAGTTGTCAAGTTTGATGTAACTTGAATGATAGATTTCCAGCAAGAAGTTGTCAACTTTAGTAATATTTTTGACAGACGTGAAATTTGGAATATCTATAGTGTCAGATTTTGAAAAAGAGGTTATCAAAGTAGTCAACATTAATAATAGCTATTAAATGATATATATGTCAATTATGACAGATGTGAAAATGGAAACACTTTGAATAACAGCTTTCCAGCAAATTGTTGTCAACAATAATATCTATTAAATGATACATGTGTCAATTTTGACAGTTGTGAAATACCTTAAATGACAGCTTTCCAGAAGAACGTCTAACTCCTTATGATTGTTAAGCAAGATGTGTGCCAAATGGTACTTGGATAGTCACAGAACATATTAAAAAAGAAGAAAACTTTCCAAACTAGACAAATACTAGTACTACTGCTATAATATCTTAATAAAAAATATTCACTTACAGCCAAATATCCTTGTTTTTCAAGATGTCTTTTTCACAGTAGGAGAAGGCGTTCGGAATTCTATAGACACGAAGTACTTTAATTAGATTTATGTAGGAAGCGTCCGTTCTGCCCAAGAAAATCTCGAAAATTAGTTTCAACGGTAGAGCCGTTAGCAGATCTACGGTGAAGCTGGTGGTTATGTAATGGGTTGCAGTGTATTTGGGATGCGTTACAAGAACACCGTCTTCATTGTAATAACATACATGTAAACGTATGTAACTGAAAATGAAAAACAAATACATATAAAAATTAGTTTTTTTTATATAATAATATACAGTGACAGAAAAAAAACAAGCATAAGCACAAGCATAAAATTTAAATATGAATGCGTGAAACTATATAATCTTAATGTCAAGTGGCATTTGAAGTTCAAAACATCAGAGGTCTATTCCAAAATCGGAAAGTTATATTCCATTATTTTGTATGTAATTAAATACGCAAAGTTATATCAGTAGATTACTTAAGAATGATAACTTACACATCTATTAATAAAAGAAGATCTAGGAAAAGCGAAATGGATATTGCGTAGATTTTCTTCATGGCGCATTGGTAAACGAAAAGACACGGATTTATTGTGCACATGGCGAAGACGATAACGGCGTGAAAAATCGCGTATCTATAAAGGAATGGACCATTCGGTAGAATCGTCTTCCTTCTCATGAAGTATCTAAAAAACAACATTGTTTATTTAGAATATAAACCTTATACAGTTTTATGAAATACCTGAGAAGAGTGAATTGTCTCCAACCTCGTTGGAAATCTAGATTCAATGGATGCAATTTACCATTTGGGAATCGGAAGAAGGAACCTTGTTGCACCCGTTTTACGTACGGCACGTTCCATGTTTCACCCGACTTCATGAATAACCTTTTAACAGCCTACACAAATACCAAAAAAAAAACAATTTTATAATATCTGAGTATTACTGTTATAAATAGTCTAAGCTAGAATAAGGGTTTATGTAAATTTTTCATAGGTTTTCTTTATATTAAAAGCTAGAATTTTCTATAGATCCCAAAGTATTTAGTATGAACTGAATATAAATAATTACTATACAGTCAAAGTTCAGTAAACGTACATAATGATTACAAAAATATTCCTACGAATGTAAATTTTACTTTTGAAACAGGATATCATTATATTTCTTGTCATACTTTATTATCCATGTAAATATATATAATAAAGTGCATTCGCTTAGATATAAATATGAATTAGGTTAGAATATGTTAAACTAGTTTAGGTCACTGTAAGGAACATTTCATTGCTACATCTTAGGATACCTAAAAAATCTATATATATTAACCACATTCGAGGAATTTCTATAAATCTCTCAGTAATATTTAGTGTGTGAATATATTGAATATTAATATTTAGTATACAGTCAATGTTCGGTTAACGTACATCAGTTGTACACTAATTGCCATACTCTAAACGAACGTACGTTAATCTGAACAATAAACACATTTAATACGTTCGTACAAACGTATATTTTCTCGTTGAACCACGGCATCATATACTGATAATTGTGTTACAACTTCTAGCAGAATACAATAAAAATTAAATGTATACATACAATTGTATTCTTGGTCATTGCTATCAAATTGTGCACGTTTCCTTTCAGCTCAGGTTTGTACGACATTACATTGTCGATATCAGCTAAAGAAATCTTCAGTACACTGACGTTGGTTAAAGTTCTAATATTATACAAAACTGGAACCTCTGAAAATCCATCGTGATGAAAATAATGAGAAAGTATTTACATTTATATTTGATCATTATTTTTATCACAATTACCAACCTAAAAGCATATCAATAACACAAAAATCAGTCATCGGTCCGACGATTTTATCCGCCCTATTACTCCCGCTAAAAAGCATCTACAAAAACCGTTTTCAGTTCAAATTAAACAGAAATAAAAAAAAACATCTTTACCTCACAAAAACCCTTCTCAATTATGTACATATTTTGCGTTGTATCTCCAGCATAAGTGACGTATTCGTTTGGTGGAAACAATTCTATCTCACATTTACCACAAATCATTCGAATCATTGCTCTTGAGAACAACTGTTGAAATATTAATTATCATTTTGTTTTTCTTATGCTAAATAAAAATTCACCTTAAACAATGGTATGGATTCCAGCATATAATAGTATCTGTCCTTGTTCAGTTTTTCATAGAAGTACTTGGGGATATCGAACATCAAATGCTTGACCTTGATTCCTTCAGAGATTTCCCATTGACTTTCCATATACAGATTCAATCTGTTCAACAATCGACGTTTCATCTTATTAGAAATCATGAATTTCCTTACAGTCGATACTTCATCAACATACTTTTGTCTAAAATTCAAATTATTTATTTCTGATTCTTTATAAGAATTATAAAGGTCTACAGATTAATTCAATAGTATCAATTAATGACTTTTTTCATTACAAACAATTGAAAAATATTTATTACATTCTGTTCAATAATTAAATGTACGTTCGAATGAACATCAAGTACCTTTGTGCGAACAAACAAATATAAAAACAATGTAATTGCATGTGTTTATATGTTTTTTTTCAATAAGTTTATCACATTAAGGTTATTTCATGAGTATACAAATTATGAAATTTATAACAATTAATCAAATAAACACTTTGAACAATTTGAATGGTTTCAGGAAACTTGTTGCATTCAGGTGCGTTGTCATAAGTTTTAATTTTTAATAAAATAAAAAAAAAACTTAATAAAATACTCACTTTGAAAGTTGTGCCAGAGTTAATGTGGCCGAATAATCAGCTAATAGATATGTATATAGAAAAATAAATGTTACGAAGTAAATAGTTGCCAGGACCATTTCCCAAGTATTTGTTATGAAAATTCTTCCACCTGTGCCAGTCAAAAGTAGTAGACCATAAAGGAATGACACGAACAAAATGTCAGTATTCGTATCATCGTCGATATTAACATCAGGTTTCATTTTTTCCTTGTACATGATCACCCAGGATGGACTCTTGCACGGTCTGTAATTATATAAATTGTTATGAAATTGTAAGACATATGTCTTTTAATAAAGACAACATAGCTGCAATACAATTATCTTAGTGAAATATTTTTTTAAAGTTTCATTTAAATCCTTGTTTATAGAAGTTTATACATTTGTTTTCATCAATTTTGAAGATTAGAATTAAAGAAATATTCGAGGTAAGTGTGAATCTATTGAAAACATTTGTCAACAAGTTTAATGGGTTCAATGACAAATAATTATGTTAAAGGTAAAACTAAGTGAATAATTCCAATCAACCTAATGTAGAAGTAAGAATATCATGAAATGTATGTATAATATATAGTAATATTGAAAATATTGAAATTTTATGTAAAATTAATTAATAAAGAATTGGATAATCATTGTTTTTTGTTTTTCGATTTGAATTTCGATCACTTCAAACTAATACTAAAAACTTAATTGTTTGTTATTATGTTATTTAGTAGAAAGTTAAGTATTATTGTGTATCCACAGTTTATGTGAGGTGTACCAACTGCGTTTGATCATAGAATGTAATAACACTGAAATTGTGAAGACAGTAACAATTCTATACATTACTACATATGATCATAGCAGTTGGAATGAACATTACATAATGTATGTACCGTGATATATTGAAATTAAATTAATTTGATTACCTGGAAGAGCATCCAGCTAGATAATAGAACAGTCCTTGCAGATAGCCCAAATAAGTTAAGTATACAACGTACAGGAATATCCTGGTAACATTTGTCCCAAATTTGAAGCTTTTCGTTAAATTCACAAAAAATGAAACAATCTGAAAATTAAACCTCATAGTCGAATTAGTTGAATTATCAAACTAATTTTGTTAAAACTAACGCGTATTATCTTCAGCATATGATTGCAATCGAATATATTGTTACGACGGTCATATGTCAGAATACCCTTATATAATATCTCTATGGGAATGATACTCGCTACATCGATCAAAAAATTCAATTGTGTGAACCTCTTCGAAATAATTCCTGAAAGTGTGCTATTCATATCTGAAATATAAATCAAATTTTTATATAACAATAATAAGTAAACAGTTTAAATTAATAATCTATCTATACACCAATTTCCTCAAGTATAAGATTGGGATCTTAAAGCTGGGTGTGTCTTATTAGTTTATGTAATCACATATACCTAAATTTAAGAATGTTTTATACATTGATGCGTCTTATACTTGGGAAAATATGGTACATATTATAACAGAAGAAACCATAAATATTATATAATAAATCATAACAAAAAAGGTTTAACATAATGTTGAAATTATAAAAAGAAGGTATAACTACTGCAAATAATTGCTTACTTTGTTTATCATCTTCAACTGCTGTAAAAATCTGGACTATAACATCAGCAATGAAGAGAATGTTTGCTACAGGTCTTAAAAAAACATCATAGAAAGGTGGCGAAGTTTTCAAGTAAAAAAGTACGTAAGGGTAGACTATTGCTACGGCAACGGAGATAATGAAAATCAGGCCATTCCAAATCTGCAAAAGTTGACTATTCGGGTATAGAATCCAAGGCCAATTTGTGGTCACGAAAATCATATCCTTGTGCTTCGTTGATCCTTCAATCTAAAGAAATTATCAAATCTCATTAATCATCATTGATAGAATATTTAATACTCACTTTATTGATTATATACAAATCTGTGGTTTTGAGATCAGTCTTGTCGGTTTGAATATCTTCAAAAGAACTCCTCAAAACTTGCTTGATTAGTTTCAGTGTCTTATCGACGCGTTTCCTCCTAATAATAAGAAATGTTTTAATATAAGTTTATATACATTTTTTTAAAAGACTTACGATAATTGAAGTTGTTTTTGTTTGACTGCATGTAACTCATGGGAATTGGCTATTAATATCTGAAAAAAATACACAAGATTTTTAAAACAATGTAAATAATTAGAAGATATAATTATAACTATAACTATTATAATTTACAAAAAACTAGATTTATGTATTCAAAGTAATATAATTTTAACAAAAGGAGAAAAAAAAAGTTTATTTACTAAAGTAACTAAAAACTATAAGATTGTTTATTGAATATTATATATATATATATGAGTATATAATAACATTCAAATTAGATTACATAAAAATATCTTTGACCTATGAAGAAATTGATAAATTGTTCATAGTTTGTCTTCAGAAAAAAAATAAAAATTAAATGATGAAAATTACCTATCTTACATTCAAAATGTTGCAATTTCGATTCACACATTTTTCTCAGGAACCTATTTACTGTGTAAATCGGGGTATATGTATACAGTGCAACCTCGCTTAACGAGTTTAATCCGTTCCAAAATTTCCGCATTTTTTCTCGTACAGTGAAACATATTATGTGTACACAAGTTTTAAAAATAATGTAGTAGGCAAAATCCGTGACTTCTCTTCTCATCGTCACTCGTTTTCTTAAAATTAATTTTGTTCATTAAGCGAAATGATCGTTAAGCGAGGTTCCACTGTATTTGGTTTAGTTTAAAAATTGTAGATAATTTAGAAATTTGATTAGATTTGTTAAGTTTAGAATTGTTAGTTTGGTTTCAATTTGAATATAACTTCTAGTATTTTTTTTACGTTACTTACGTTTATAACATTAAACATATTTCTAGATTCATTCATCTTTTTATACTGAACGACAGTTCTCCAAACAGCTCTTTTATCCAATGCATGCACTTTGCAATATGTAGAAGCAATCATCTAAAAGAAGAAAAATATGACATCATTAGATATTTTTTGTTATATTAAAATAATTTAACAAATACGTATAATTTATTATTAATTTCATATTTATATTAGAAATTTTGAATATTATTACTATTTCAGTATTTCACTTATCCAACAATTTTTTTTAAATATTTTACATTGATTTTGCCTATTTCTTTTTAATATAAAAAATGTTTTGGTTAAAATACATTTACATTAAATTAAATAAGCAATATTTGATAACCCAAAGACTATATTTTTTGATATCCTTTATTTCTCATTCACAACCTGCCAATTTTTGGCAATAAGAATGTTTTTGAGCATAAGACAAAAAAAGAAAATAAAAACAGAAAAAAACAAAACAAAATAAGCATGGAGCGAAACGATTTTCAGAAATCAGAAATCAGAAACCTTATGCCTAGCCACTGTAGAAGTGCAGTAACCGTATCTTAGTTTTTATTAAGGCGCTATTACTCCTTGTTGAGTATTAAGTTTTGGCAATAGTTATGTAGTGGCGCTACTTGAGTTATCAAAACACGACAAGGCTAGTGTTTTCTCGCCCTTTTCTTATATATTTATTTAAGGCATTTTTGTAAATATTATTTTAACATTAATATAAGTCTTTTATAGTAGTAGTTAATCGTGTTAACTGTTTATTTTGAATATAAATTTGATTTAAAAATAGTTTTCTAATCTATTTTCATTAAATTAAATATTGATGTTTTAATAGACCAAATTGTTAATTGTTATACTTTTGTTATCAATTTTATTATAAAATATTTCTTATATTGAAGGTATATTTATGTATCTTTATTTTTCCTTGCTGGAGTTCATGTTTCTTAATACTTTGACCAATAAATATTATTGATTATTTTTGGATATAAACAATTAATAATTACATGCGCAGCATTGGGGATGTTCAACAGCATGTAGCTCTCTCCGATGCACGAACCGTAACCCAAATTGATGATAGGGCTTTCGATATCATCAGGTGCGACCACTTGAACGACTCCAGTTGCAACGAAGATGATCTTATTTTGCAGCTGATCCTGATACACAATTACGTCTCCTTTACTGTAGTAGTATGTCTCCATTTTCTGTGCTAATGCCCTCTTCATACCATCACTAACATGACGCAATATTAAACTCTGTAAATTACAAGTTACTGTTAGTATCTACATTAATTTGGACAAAATGATGATATTCAGGTATCATTAAGCTTTACAAGGAATATAATTTTGTTAGAGTATAATTATTCAAAAATTGACTTAAAATTGGATTACGTCTTATGGTCCGATGGTAATAATTCTTTCTTCGATTTTTAAATCGTCCTATAAGTTTTGGGTGCATCTTATGATAGGGTAGTTATTTTGTTAATACTATTAATTCAAAATGCGGAAGAAGTAAAATATCGGGTCTATATCGACATCCCGACAATCAAATTCTCGACATTCCAAATTCCCGACAGTATTAAATCCCAAACATTTTAGTGGATTTTGATATTAAACCTGAAACGATCTACAATATACATATGTAAGGTATACAGTTATGAATTGAGAACAACTTTTCCCGGTTTCTCTCATTCACCATTAAACATCCACGTGCACAAATTTTGTCACTGCCTTTTTGTGACGGAATTATTTCACAAATATTATTTTTTGAAAATCTTGATGAGACTAAGGGTTAATTAACTAGATAGTTTTAATTTAGCGTAGGTATAAAATACAGATTTTACTCGAAACAATAGAATATCGATGTTCTTTTATTCATGTAAGTAAAATAATAACGTTTGTTTTTAAATTAATATGTTTTACGTCTATATCAAATAATAAAAGACACTGTCGAGATTTTAATTGTCGGGAATTGGGTTTGTCGGGATTTCGATCCGAACCGTAATATATCACATAAAATCTTGAATCACAGATTTCTGCTAAAGCACTAAGTTGTTTAAGAAATTTCGTTCCATTCATCAATAGATGCACACCAAAGTTCAATATGAATGAGACTATGCAACCAATTATACATATTTCTCTGGATGTTTTGTTAACAATTAAGATATTTTGTCTATGGTCGCCTGTATCACGAAAATCTCGTGATCTGTTAAACCCCAAAGTGTTAGAAATAGGGCTGAAAGAGATTTATATCAATAAATAAATTGATATAGATCTCTTTATTTGATAATAAGAAAAAAGATATTTTGTAGTAAGTTAATCAATGAAAAATTAAGAATTACTGGAAACTTAGGCAAAGTACAATTGTACAATTTTTAATTGGAATTTTAATGCATATGCATTTTTATTAATTATAATTTTAAATTTTCTGTTTGAGATTAACAGTGGATGATGGGTATTGGACTTAAGTAATCTTATTGGACAATAGTTCACTAATAAATTTAACTAATAATTAAGATTTAAATACCTGATTTAATGTATGCCAATATTTATCCAATTCTATATCATTAATCATCGATTCTGGTAGAAGATCCGACGCTTCAAGTTTATGGATTGCCGATTCCTTCATCCAAAAATTATAATACCAAGTTCGGATCTTCTTCGCCAACTTTTTAGAAACATTTCTATGATCCTAGAAGACAAAAAAAAGTAATTAAAAATTCAGTCAAAAGATTGTATATCATTGAAAACTATACCACTTGTTGCAGAATCAAATTAAGCCTGGTTCCAAACAACGTTCTGCGCCTGTAGCCATCGATTTGAACAGAGGTGAAAGCTCCTAAAAAGACACCATTCATGATGAACAAATTGAAGAGCATTACTACAATGCAAATAAGGAATTCCACGTCGTTCCGCTTCGAAGCTCCCAAAATTCTATAAAATAGATGTTGTTACTCGTGATAGATTACTGGTAATAAGTAAATGGAAATACCCGATGCTTGTTGCAGTTGCAGCAATCGAACTGTACGTGCAATAACCGAAAAGCGCTTCAGGCGACATCTTTTTGTTATGAAATTCATCAGTCCAATGTTTTACATAAGTATTTCTACATTCCTGAAACAAGAGTTTTTAAATGTTTTTAGTCATTAATATATAAAATTCTATCTCTTTATCTGATCTCTTTGGGCTTAAATTAACTTAAAAAACTGCAATTTATATACAAATCTTACAAAATAAATGGAAATTCCCAAACTTTTTGAAAATGGACAATATAAGGGTTTCAATTGATTTGGTTCTTAAAAATAATGTTTTATAAAAATGTATTAAGTCTATAATATAAAAAAATTACTACCGTTAATAAAATAATGATTTTTTATTCTGATAATAAATCTAAATTTTGATCTGATATGACTTAGTTTGTATTTAAATTGTATATTTACATAAACTTTCTTAAATACTTAACATATTTATTGTTCTAGTATAGAAATACTTCGCATAGTGCGGTTTCGCTAATATCCCGCACTATTTGAAACCGAATTATTCTATAGATCAGTGATAAGTATAGATGAAACAATTATTCTGTGTAGTAAATTTTTAGAATAATTATTTTGCTCAATTATTTGTATTGAAATTTTCAGATCGTACTATAGTGAATCCGGGTTGCTCGAAGTCGCACTGTGCGAGGTATTGCTGTATTTCTATTGAAACTTACCAAACAACCAATCTCTTTCCAAATGCAGGTGTGACTATGTATAACTATTAATATTAATATGCCATACTTGATCAAGACATACATCAATCCTTTTCTCGTGGGGCTTGAAGTGACAGTATCTAAAAATGACGTAATTTAAAATTTTTGTATACATTTATAATATATTTCTTTACAAAAGTATTCAGCTGCTCGATGCATTGTAATTATGGTCAAAATAAGCTCAACTTTCGACCAGAAGCGTGAATGCTGCGAAAAGTAATTCTTAATACCGATAGGCAACAGAACCAAGCATATCAAATCCACGTAGAGAATGACTAAAAGGATAATTTGAAAAAAAAATCAATCATCAAAGAAATGAATAAATTTACTAAAATGTTTCCGTTTGTAGACTTTTAAGCAACTCATACTTCTATAAATGTAATGTGCTGTAGATGAAATCGTATCCGTTATAATAATTGTAGCAAAACACAGGTAGAAGAGAATAGCGAATATCTCTTCTTTTACGAACTTCTTGTCAAATACTTCCTGAAAAATGAGTTTGCGTTATTGTTTACATTATTTAAATGTTAATTTATACTCGGTATGAGACGATGGCGAACAATCCTATTGCTGAAATTGTAACGATGAACGTCCACAAGTAGCTGAACGAGAGAAATATGAAATTGTTCGTTTCGGTTTGAGATTTTAGGTCATAGGATTTCTGAAATTATGAAATTATGTTCTAAATTGGGCTAATGCAAATTAGTAATTATAATAAATGATATCTTTTATAAAAAAACCTTTTTGTCCTTGAATAAGATATAATTAAATTATTGTTGGAACTTATGCTTGAGATGTTAAAAACAGAAATACGGTATAAAATTAAATCTTACTTCACTATCCTCGAATTTTTCAGAGTCTTTTTGTTTGATGTCGTATTCTTCACATATAAAGTCCTTTCCTGTTGCCAAAATGTATTCTAAATTGTTTTTACTAACTAGCGAACAATTAAACATATTTTCTTCATTAGAACCCATTTTGACATGAAAGAGCTTTTTTATTTGTTTATATTTATTAATGACTTTTGTCAAAGTCTCACAGGTTGCTATTACTAATTTTATTGGTTATTTTAATATTTGATTGAAGAAATGTGTCGTGTAGTTTATGAAAGTTAAGCAACGTGGTTTTAGTATAATATATGAATGGATAATCGAACTTTTTGTCAAAAACTCGAAGGTTGATATGATTTATTTTTGTTCAGATTGATATTTGTTATTTCACTATTCGAATGAAGAAATCCATCGTGTATATTGTGAAAATTAAGTAATGTATTTGGAGTATAGTGGATGAATTTATGATGACTACCTCTGTCAAAGTGTCAAAGGTTGCTATTAATTATTTTCATTAAGTTTTATATTTTTCATTTCAATGAATAAATGTTTAGTGTTGTTTGTGAAAAATAAGTTTGACTATAGTAAATGAATCGATTATCGATGTCTTCTTACAAAATTTCGGAGGTTGATATATTTTATTTTTATTCAGATTAATATTTGTTATTTTACTATTCGAATGAAGAAAAATATCGTATATATTATGAAACTTAAGCAATGTAAAGTATAGTAGATCAATAGATGATCGGTACCTTTTGTGAAAGACTTGAATGTTGGTATTATTTATTTTCATGAGGTTTCATATTTGCTAATTTAGTATTTGTATGAAGAATTGAGTATCTTAATATTTAAGCTTCTGAAAAAGTTTCGGAAGTTGATATGATTTATTTATGTTTATATTTATTGTTAATGTTTGAATGAAAAATATGCTACACGACACATATTTTCAATCAATTTCTTATTAAAGTTAAACAAAATGGTTTTATTATAATACATGAATGGATGATTGGTATGTTCTGTCAAAATCTCGAAAGTCGGTGTTCTTTATTTTCTTTTTAAGTTTCATATTTGCTATTTTAATGAATATATGTATCAAGTAACTTACGGAAGTTAAGCAACGCTCTTTTAGTATATTAGAAGAATGGATGATCGATGTCTTATAATTTTATATTGTTAACTAATAATTATTTATATTGTAAACAAAATATTTTAGTATTAAGCATTCAAAATTTAATAATGCCAAACTTAAAACAAAGACATAGGAAGAGAATGTATACAAAATTATTAATCACAAATGTGACCTATCGACTTCCCGACCTAAGTCTTTCCGCCCTTTTTGCCTAAATTTATCTGAATTGTGAAAAACAATGAATATATTCTAAAAAGTGAGATTTCAAGCGTATTTAGAAAAAAGTTTAGTTTGGATTAAATGAAAATGACAACATGTAGTACTCTCATGAAGATGGAAGAAAACAAAGTGCATTTTAGACTTTGACACTTTTCTGTTACTGTAAAGCCCAAAATGCCACTAAAGCATTAACTAAAATATATTCTGCTTGCGGAGAAGTTGCTTTAGATAAATGTACTTTAGGAACGTAATTATCTAAATTTAGAGCTAATAATTTCAGCCCTAAAGTTCTGCTAGTAATAATGATGAAATTGATCGAGAATAACTGAATGAGCAAAGATATTACAAATATCAAAAACAACTATCGAGGAACGTTTTTGAAGCTTACATAAATCGTTAAGTTATATGAGTTTTGCATAATATAACGGACAAAAATCACGACAATATCAGCCCTTATATTTCTTTTACTAATCAACAAAATTTGTTGAAATCGGACAAAGTTGCCTTTTTTTACTCGTAGTATTCACTTTTCATTGCACTTTTCGATTCTCACAAATTAGGGTCATTGCATTAACTACAAAAACGATTAATTTTAGTCGCCATAAAAATACAACTGAAGAAGTTTTTTTGACGAAAAACCTAATAAATTCTAGGAGGATGTAATGTTTAAGTTGCGTGTCAGATGAAGATAGGTTTATAGATTAAAAATGATGCATACATAATTAAAAAAATATGTATTTATATATAAAAGTTTTGATTTTTAATTTTAATGAAAAATCGGCACGAAATTTCCGGACAACCCAATTTATTGGTTATAGTTTGAGTATGGATTAGTTTTGTATTTATTATTATTGTGTAAATGGTTTCGGTTTTCGAACATCGTTCAAATTATATTTGACAACCGAGATTCCACTGTTCAAATACAAAAAGTTGAAGTGGTGTAGCATATGCGCTCGGAACGCAGCTTTCATTTGATATTAAGGGCTCGTTGTAGTTGAGAACCCTTCGAAAGCGTACACATACATACAGAACTGTCCCGCTATAAAGCTTACGCGTTTTCCGGTCCAACAATAACAGTACCATTTTATCTAATGAACAAACTTCACACATTATCCTTGTAACTTTCAGTCCTTCCACCCTTTACCATCACACTCATCCTCTCACTCTCTCCCTTTTTATCCGTCCCTTCCAACTACTGATTACGAACGTAAAATACAATTCGAGGGAGAACACAGCGATGATGATGATAATAATAATAATTTCTAGGCAATAAAATGTAAAAAAGGAGCGTTCTGGCCTTAATTGAAAGCCACTAATTAAAAACGCATTAGCATATTTTAAATTGCCGGCAAAACACTAAAGAGCAAATGAAATTGAATTAAACGTAAATTAAATTAGAGTTTAGTGAAACAAAAATAATAATAAAAGAAGTTTAGGTTGCTCTGTTTTATTTTTAAATAACGTATGGAAACTAATAATGGCTACACGAGAAGAAGTTTTGTAATATCCTCAAGTTTCATCTTGTCGGGTGTTAAATGTTAACAAGTTCTGGGACAGTTTTACATTAAACGTTTCGTTTTTTTTATTTTACTTCGTTGCTTTAAGGTATAAGCTTTTACCGAATGCTCGTTTTCACCTGATCGATCAATCTGTGCACGTGGTATGAGATGATCTTCTTTTCAATGGTTCTAGATTTCTTAATTTCCGGAGAGTTTAATTGGAACGAGCGGAGATCGTTCGTAAGATTTGCAGACTTATCCTTGTCGCATTATTAACTCAAAGAAAGTTTAAATTGTTTGAACTGTTAATGTTTTTTTATATGAATTTCTAGAATTACACAAGAAAAAATTATCTTATACTTTTCTTAGTCTTTCCGCTTACTTATATTAATTATTAGTTACTTAAAGGATAATAGCTTGATAAGTTTGAATAGTTTGAAGAGTTTTTATTTATTCATTAAAATAAATATTGATAAAATTAACAAAATTCTAATTTAAAGTTCAAGATTACTTTGGCGTTTGATTGAAATTTCTCTTCTTCCGAATGTTTGTTCAGGTTTGGTAATTTCAACTATTTCAAATCGTAATAATTCGTTCGGTTTTACACTAAAATTTCTGGGCGTTGTGAAATAAGTCATAGAATGACTTTGTGAAATAAAAGAATGAAGAAATTTCTTGAACGTTTTATTTTTTTTATTATATTTTTATTGGACATAGACATAATTCTTTGAACTTTTTTATAGAAGCAATAGAAAAATGTATATAAGATTTCAATTATTATTTTTGATTGTTAATTTATATTAAACATTTGTTCAATTGGTTTTGTATATAACAAATTTAAAATGTATTATGTACAGTAAATTTGTAATTTATCATAATTTCGTTTACTTTGATTTTACACACAATTTTATTGAATATTTAGTTAATATTTTACTTGAAAAAGTATATTTTTATTTTCTGTTCATGTATAAATTATCCAATATATTCGAGAAGATACTTTCTTTACTTTAATTTGTTATTTATTTATTTTGTAAGTTAATTTTGCAAAAAAAATCCGTTTACATAATTAATGTGATAATAACTAACGACTGCTGATTATAAATTTTCAGTTACATAATTGAAATAGATTAAAATAAACATTGATAAGGATTAATTTGAACACTAAACAAATTTTTATCTCAGAAGCTTATGCAAATTTCTCTCAATAGGTGTCGTTTAACTTGGCTCGTTTGAACATTTAGGTTTATACCTGAGTCATTACCCTTCAATTTTTTCCAATTTTAAGTTAAGATCATACTTCACAGGATCATTTCTGTAGTGTATCTTCACAACACATATCACAAATGTGACATGTATACAAACCACGATGACGAGTCGTAGTTCTGCTATCTGAGCGTGAGGCAGAAGTCTTTGGATTCTTCAGAATCCGAAGCTTCATCGATGACCGTTCGCTTTATTTCTTCGAAATTTAGTGAAGGATAGTGGAGCATTCTGAGTGGCTTTTTTTATTAAATCTAAATATAATTTGTTACTAATGTTCAATAAATACCATGTTAAAAATATTTTTGTTTTTCAGTTTTTCATTTTTAAAAGTTCATTGTTTTGTATCTCTTTCTTTAATTACGTATTGCAATTGTTGACATAATAGTATATAAAAGTGAAGTTTTTGAGGATATTTCTTGCAATAAGATTTAAATTTCATGTCATGTTACATTAGTTGTTTCTAACTATACATAAGTTAGATTAAAACTGACATAATTTCAAACAGATCGAAGATTAGTATATCAAAATTGTAAAGTTTCTTTTGTGACACCTAATATTCTCGTTTAAGATAACTATTTCCGAATCTACAAAATTTTGATATATTTCTTAAATATTCTTTAATAGTTGATTAATGTGGTAAAAATTTCAAGTGAAAATATGTGAATTTTAGTCAATAGATGTCCCTTTTTGTGCTCGTTTGTACATTTACGTTTATACCTGCGCCTTTACCCTTCATTTTTTTCCAATTTTAAGTTAAGATCATACTTCACAGGATCATTTCT